CACATGTCATGAAGTGTACGTGTCACTGCACTGCATGTGGCATGAGCATGTGCATGGGCTGGCAAAATCATTGTTCCATAGATTAGTATTGAAAAAACATTACACATGTTCTCAAGACTGGACCAAATGCCTCAATCATACACTCAACATTTTTCACTACTTAAAATATCTATTTTTTGTTAGATAATTATATGATCAAAATGCATTATTGCCTTTAATGACGAATCCACCAAGGACTTGCATGTGAGAAGTAGGAGAATAAGCAAAAAGTAGCTCTCACTTGCCAATTTATATCACCACTATTAATTTTTTTATAAAAAAAAATCTGATAACTACCACAATTAATTAGCGAATGACATTAATTTCCTTTTCTAGGTGGTGAGAAAGTGGAAAAAAGTAGAACATTGTAACAAATCTGGACTTCTTTTTTTTGTTCTTGTTAAATTCGGGTTTTCTTAGTGGAATTTACTACTTTCTGTCATTAAGCATTTTGATGCCAATATTAATGAAAATAAAAAGGGTTATAAAAAATGATTACATAACTAAATCATACCCTTCAAGTTTTAATCCAAAAGAAAAGTTAATCGTCTAAAATACTTTCATTGTTGTAATATTTGATGAAAAAAATGATATTTTAAAAAAAAATTATTATTTAATTATCAAGAATTAAAAAGGGAAAATAAAAGGGAATAGTAAGAGGAATGTGGAGATGGTTGGACCCACTTTGACTAGAATATGAAACTGACGTGTCAAACTCTTAACAAGAACTTCATGTGAGCTCTGATTTGTCATAAATTCTACTACCTGTTTTTTTCCTTCTCGATTACCAAATGTGAAAAGTTTAAATTATTGTATATACAAAAAGCATCACGAGATGCTAGACCCCAGGAAGTAAGAGTTATTTTTTTATAAAATAATTGGGAGTAATAAGAGTTGAGTATATTTTTAAGTTTAATTGCAATGGAAGAAAAAATTATTAGTTGATCATAAATAAAACATTAGGTAACTATTAATTACAGTAAAGTTAAAAAACATCTATATTCGTGGAATATTTTTGTGAGCTAATAGAGAAACTCACATGTCCACCATGGCAGCTACTTCCTCTGGGTTCTCAACTGCATGTTTATGCCATGTTTCATTGGACCTGAAAATCATTTATCAAACGTTAAATTTAGCAATTATTGTCTCATTTCTAACATGATACAAATTATTACCAACTATTTTTGAATTGGAATAACTACACAATATATCATAGTCGTGAAAATGATCTATATATATTAGTCTTTATAAAACTCACTGATACTTAAAAACCTTTTAAGTTTTAGATTTATCAGAGAAAATCGGTGTTAGTTCTCACACTTGATGGACTATTAAGCTTTAATTGCTCGGTTCCATGAATTAAAATACGTAGAATTAAGATGCATTGAGCTTAGAAAGCTTCAATGTACAATAATAATGAGTAAGTGTTACCTGGATGAATTAATGCCGATAAAGAGCGTTGTTATGAGTAATGCAGAAGCAAAGAGGATAAGTTTTGTGACAGCCATTGTTATGGATGTGTTCTTCTTCCTCTGTTCTGCTTCGTTGTCTCTGTCTGAGGCAGAGACTTTTCTCGAAAGAAAAAGAAAGGGAAATGAATAGGAGAAGAATAGTGGAAGAAAGGATCCGAGAGAGAGAAGTTAATATATAAGAAAATTGCGTCACTATTCCCATTATCTTATTGGCCTAATTTCTTGGGGAAAATAAATAAACAACGAATCGATAAAGAAAAATTTTCTAAAAGTAAACCTAAAACCATATAAAAAAAAATATGGACGGATTTATTTTTTATTGAGGATACATAATTAACTAACTTAAATGGATAAATTAATGACTAAAGAGACAAATAGTATTTTTTATATATATATATTAGTGTTGGTTCATTCACATTTTCAATGTGGAATCCTAACAAGTTTCGAAAAATATTTGGTCTTACAAAG